CTTGATTGCTCATGCCCAGCTCTTTCCCCTTCCCAGGTAAACATGCCATCCCTAACCTAGTGAAGAACCTGCCTGGAGGCCAGCAGACCCCAGCCAAAAATCTCTCTGAGGACACAGTGGTGTCAATCCTCAACACCATCAATGAAGTAATTGTAGACAACCTTGAGGCTGCCAAGAAGCTGCGGGAAACACAGGGGATTGAGAAGCTGGTGCTGATCAACAAATCTGGGTAGGCTCTGCTTGAAGGATAAAGCAAGGGGCAGAGAGGGGCTTTTCCAGGAGCTTCCTTGAGGCCGTGGGTATTTCCAAACATCTCTTCCTTCACCTCTTTCTAGGAACCGCTCAGAGAGAGAAGTCCGAGCAGCTGCCCTTGTCTTGCAGACAGTCTGGGGATATAAAGAGCTGCGGAAGCCCCTTGAGAAGGAAGGCTGGAAGAAGTCAGATTTCCAGGTATGGGGTTGGGGGAATGGAGATGTCCTGTTGTGGCTGAGGTATGAGGTAGGGTCCTCCAGCAGGGAGAAAAGTGTTCCTGGAGCTCAGCAGTACTGAATTTCAGCTCTGACCTTGCTGGTGGGATTGGAGGCCCTTGAAGGTGTCCCCTCTGCCATTTCTTAGTGGATGGCCAGCAGGAAGTCTCTGCTAAGGAAGAAACACTCTGTAAAGTGTTAAGCCCTGTGTCCCACACATAAGTGTGCAGATCTGCAGGCAGGAAAGTTTGCAGCACTAAAAGCTGCTGTGGCAGTGCTGAAGAACGAGGTTCTCCAGGGTTCATTTTCTTTCCCAAAAGCTGGAACTGTCCTTGCTGCTTAAGGGCTGGGTGCTGCCCTGATCCAGTTCAGGCTGGCCACCTCTACTCTCTAATGTGGGTGCAGCCATGGGCTCTGGAGCACCCTCTGGTTGCTTCAGGCCCCTTGCTCAAGGGCTGTGGGGGAGGGCTCCTGGTCTTAGGGGCTGGAGGGGTGGGATGTGCTGATGGGGAAGGAATATCTGGGCCAAGGTGTGAGTGGTCACTGTCTGATGCTCCAGGTGAACCTGAGCAATGCCTCTCGGACCCAAGGAGGCAACTCATTTGATGACAGCACCTTGCCTCTCATTGACAGGAACCAGAAAACAGGTAGGTGCTTTCCCTTTAGCACCTGTCCCCACTGTCATCCTTCTATCTTGTGGGTACCCAGAACAGTTGGCCTTTGTCCCCTCCCTGCTCTTCAGCCCTAGCTTTCTTGGCAGCCACAGCTGCTCACATGAGGCCATCAATTTGGGCTTTAGATGGCTTCTCAGGGCTAGAAATGATGCATGCAGTTAACTTGGGTCCTGTAGCATCCTTGGGTCAACAGTACTGCAGCTGGGTCTGGGCTCTCTAGCTGGGGTAGGCAGTGGTTCCTCTGCTGCTCGTGGCTGCAGGGGCTGTGTCTGATCTGTTCTCCCATGCTTTTAGACAAGAAATCCTCCCGGGAGGAGATCCAGATGAGCAACATGGGACCAGGTAGGAGAGGGACTAGAGTGGCGGCATCTTGCCTCCTTGGTATGCTGAGAGGGGGGCAGAGCTCCTATCCCCTTTGGGGATGGTGCTGCCTCCTGTGGAGGTGACATGACTGACTGTCCCCTCTCCTGCTCCAGACAACTACTCCACACTCAATGAGAGGGACCACAGCAGGACACTGGACCGATCTGGTGACCTTGGAGATATGGAACCGGTGAAGGCAGTGCCGTTGATGGTGAGCAGCTCTTCCTAATGAGGGAAGAGTGAGTGGGACTGGGGTGTGGGAGATGACACATCACTGTCCTGGCTGGCAGGAGGAGGGAAGAACTGGGCTCCCACAACTAACACCCCCCCACACTCCATCGCCCCTACTAACCCCTGTGTGTCTGCAGCAGGAGGAGGGGCAGGAATCGCAGCCTGAGGTAGAGGAAGCGGAGGAGGATGCTGCCATGTTTTCCCCTGTGTTGGTATGTCCCGCAGTGTCCTGCCCAATCTGAACAGCGGTGACAGATCCTGCTATGCTGTTAGGGGTGCTTTAACCATCCAAATTCTGCTCTGATTGCTGCTGCCTGCAATCGGTGCCTGATCCACTGGGGCCATGATTATGCCTCCACTGCTTGCTTGCTCTCTGGGCGTGCTAACATATCTCCCTCTCTCTCCACAGCAGAAGATCTAGCTGATGTCCCTGCCTCCACTCAGTTTGGGTTGATAATATATTATATATATAAATATATATATAACTCTTTGTGGTGGAATGGACTGACTTTTACCTTGTCTTATTTTTGGATTTTTTGCTGGACTGTTTGTGCCAACTAGCCAGCCAAATGACTGGGCCTGGTCCCCCAGGGGCAGCCCAGACCACTCTGCCTCCTCTAGACCGCTGCACCTCCCCGTTCTGGGACATCTCGACCGATAACTCTTTCTCCCTGTCCTCCACCACCTCCTTCCTCCAGAGAGTAAAACCCTCCTGCCTGACTCTGCCAGATCAACTGGCATGGATGCTGCAAAAGGACTCTGGATCTCTGCCTTGACCAGGAACTGCCTTCTCTCCCACATCTTCCCTCTGCTTGGAGACATCTGCAGGGACAGAGACTGGGACCTCACTCACCGCCTTTTTTGTTTTGTTTTGGGTTTTTTGTTTTATTGCCTATAGGATATATTTTTTGTGGGATCACTCTCAACCAGGGCCATGGGGACAATGGGAGCATCCCTCTCTGGTGGTGGTGGGACTGGGGTGAGGGGGGGTTGGCATCATGGGGGGATGAGGGGAAGGAAAAACAGCAATAACTTCTCTTGCTTTGCTCTAGATGAGGCTTCAGGGGCATGGGAAGGGGGATCTGGCTCTTGATCCTGCAGAGGGGTCTGGATGGGGCTGCTGGCCCTTACTCAGTGACTGTGTGAGGAGGGATCCTTATGTGGGGAAGATGGTCAGTGTGGGGGACTTGGACTGGGTCTCCCTTCAGGGGAGGTGATGGCTCCCTGTGGAAGGAGGAGACGCAGCAAGGCTTTTGGGGAGAGGCAGGTTTCTTGGGGCACACTGTGTGCCAGGTGTGAGGAGCAGGCGCTGGCAGGGCTGTATGTAGGTAGAGCCAGGATCCCCCCCCTTCGCCCCTGTGCACCAGCTGCCTGCGGCGGTGCCCCTCTGACTTTCTCTTGACACGTGCCTTTCTTTTGCCACTGTGAAATAGCTCTTTGAATTGTACTGTCTGGCTTCTTAGCTGGGGAAGGGGTGTTTCCTGGGCTGCTGGCAGGGCTGAGCTCTTCCCTTCCCCTCCAGGAGCCTTAACTGTCTGCAGTGGCGCTGGAAGCCTGTTTTTTGGGGGGGATCCCAGCCCCCCTGCTCTCACCGATAGGGTGCAGGGCTCTCATCTGCATCCTGTCCTGGGGAGATTGGGCTGCCACAGGAGCTGGGACAATACAAATCCTCCTCCTCCTCCTCTCTGCTGTGGTGGTGGGGGGTACATCTAAGTGCTGTGATCTTTTGGGGAGCCCGTGGGCTCCCTGTGCAACTGGAAGCCTCTGTAGGAGGCTGCAAACTGGAGCAGGAGCCCTCCCCAGCCTGGGGCTCCCCACAAAGCATGGGCTCACATGGGGAGCAGGGAGGCTGCAGCAGGCAGAACTGGTGCCTTGCTCCTGCCTCCTCTGCCCAAAAGCACCTCCCAGCTCTGGCTGAGCCCTTCCTGGCTCCAGCCCCACCTCAGCTCAGTTTGGTTTTGTTCTGGGGTCTAACTCTTCTCTTTCCCTTTAAATATGTAAAACACTAATTCCTTTTTTAATTTTTAATTCCACATGAACCAAAAAAAAAAGCTTCCCTCTTCTCTTTTCCTCTGCCCTGGCTCTCCTGGGCCACCCCTGGCCCTGGCAGGGAGTGAGGCTAGGGAGGAGGGGAGCAGGGAGCAGCCAGCCGTTCCTTGTCTGATTCCTGTGCACACTCTTGTAATGCTTTTAAAACAAAATGATTTTTTTATATAAATAAAGTTTTTAAAGTGTGTCTGTGTGCCTTTCACCTAAGGCTGCCACCTTGGTGTTTTTAGCTTTGCTGTTGGGACCAAGTCTTTTTCAGGGGCAGGGCTGTGCTCTTGAGCATTGCTTGCTTGGCTGTCTGTGGCTCTGAAACATGCCACTTTGACAAACCTTTTCTTGGGCTGGAGTGACATTTCCTCCTCTTTCTAGCAAAAGAATGGAGGAAAAATAAAAAGTACCGAAACTTTGTACTGAGCTCCTAATGACTTCTGTAGAGTGCTTGGGGCTGCTCTGGAGGTAGCTGAGAGCTCTCCCTAGAGCATTGTGGCTTCCTCCTGGGAAGCGTTTCCCTGAATTTTCCCTCTCTGGTAGCTGGTAGACTTTGCGCAAGTGAAGAAATACTATAATTTCTCCAGTGCATCCTTAAAAACCTTGGCTGGGGCAGCCTTATGGAGCAAGAGCTGCCCCTGTAGAGCATGGCTAGGCTGCAAACATGCTGGTACCTTCCTGGGGAATACCAAAGCCAGGTTGAAACACTATGTTAACTGACTTTGCTTTCACCTGTGTGTGCATGTGAAAATAAATACAGAAAGAAATTCTGTAAATTTGTAGGAATACCTTTTTTGAAGCAGTTTTCTGGTTTCTGCTTCAAACCAGCTTTTTACTAAAGCTGTGTTGCTGTTGGAAAGACTGTTTTGCCCTGTGGCAGTGGGATGTGGGTTTGTGGTGATGCAGGGCTGGGGTGGTGCTGATTTCCTGTATGGTGCAGCATAGCTGGAGCTTGAACTTGAACTGCTGCCCCAAGGAGGCCAGGGCTGGTTATGGGGGAAGTGCACCTGTGGGCAGTGGGGAGCACTGAGGGATGCAGCTGGCTATGGGGGGCTCCAACCCCCTTGCTTTGCACCTTTGTCCCCAAAGCTACCAGTGAGCAGAGCAAAGGTAGGGCCAAGTGTTTTATTGCTTCAGGTTGAGGGGACAATGCCCAGGATGTGTGGCTTGGCAGGGGCAATGCCAGGAATGTCTTGGGGGGAGGGTAACAAGGAATGATTGCCTGGGATGTCTTGGTTTGGCAGAGACAAGGCTGGGGACATTTGGCTCAGCAGGACCAATGCAAGGGATGTTGATGGGTGGGACAATACGAGGCATGTTTGGCTCAGCAGGGATGATGCCAGGGATGCCTGGCTTGGCAGGGAATATGCCAGGGATGTTGGTGGTGATGATACCAGGGACATCCAGCCAGGTAAGAAGGGTGGCTGTATGCTGGGGGGGCTGGGGTTCAGAGGAAGAGCTTGTCGTGGCAGGCCCGGCAATACATCTTGTCGCCGTGCTCGCGGAAGGTGCCTTTCTGCAGCTGGCCCAGGCAGTAGGCGCAGATAAAGTGCTCGGGGTGGTACTTGCGCCCTGCAGCTGTGATGCAGCGGCCGGTCACAGGGCGGCTGCAGCCGTGGCAGATGTTGCCCTGCCGCTGGTGGAAGTGCAGCTCGCAGTAGGGACGTCCCTGCAGCTCGAAGAAGGAGCCGCTGGCGAAGCTGCTCAGGCACTCCTGGAGGGAAGGAGGCAAGGAAGTCTGGCACCACCTCAGGGACACACTCAGCCCAGTGTCCCTGCTGGCCTGCCACCCGCTCACCATGCACACGAAGCACTCAGGGTGCCAGACGCCCTGCAGAGCTGACAGATAATTGTCCGTTACGGGGCGGTCGCAGCCCTGGCATTTCGGGGCAAACATGGCCAGGAAGTCCTGGTGGCAGTATGGCTTCCCGCTCCGCTCGTGGAAACCTGTGGGGAGGGCATCAAGATGGGCACCCACCTGGGGGGAGGCTTGCAGTGGGGCATGGCCATGGGGGATGCCCAGGATAGGAGGTAAGGCAGGCAATAGACGGTGGGGCTACTGGATGGGGCGATGGGTGCAAGGGCTGGGCTATGGGTGGGATACCTGGAGTGGGGGCAATGGGGACAGGAACCCCCACACCAATCCCCTGGGACATACCGTCATCTCCGAATACCTTCCCACAGTGGGCACAGAAGAAGTGTTCGGGGTGCCAGGTCTGGTCCAGGGCCGTGAGGACTTTCTGCAGGAAGCAGCAAGGTGAGGCACCTGGTGGTGGTGTGGGGTGGCATGGGAGGCTGGGGGGGCTTACCTCGCGGATGGGGCCGGCACAGTAGGCACAGCGGGGTGAGAAGGCCTGGTGATAGTCCTCCTCGCAGTACGCCTGCCCGCCCCGCTCAAAGAAGGGCTGGCTGCCCAACTCCTGCCCACAGCGGGCGCAGGTGAAGTGCTCAGGGTGCCAGGTTTTGCCCAGTGCTGTGAGCACCTGCAAGGAGGCAGGGGCAGTGAGAGCAGCCCCAGGGGATGCTGTGAGCGGAGGGGAGAGGGGCATGAGGATGGAGGTGGGGGGCTCACCTTGCCAGCGATGGGCTTGCGGCAGGTGGCACAGACGCTGGCGGGGGTGGCTGTGATGCCCAGCTCCTGCAGGTCCCGGGTGAGGCTGCCCAGCATGTTGTCCAGTGAGGGCTTGGGCTCCACTGGCACCCCAGCTCCCTGCCCCACAGCCGCTAGCTGCCAGGAAGGAGGGTGGCGAGGGCCAGATGAGGGCTGGGTGAGGGCCAGGCCCCCAACCTCCTTTCCCCCAGGGCCAAGGCTCACCTTACTCTGCATGCGGCCCAGGTCGGCCAGGAGCTCGTCCAGCTGCCGGGCGGCTGCCGTGGGTGGGGGCGAGGGGATCAATGGCTGCGGGACTGGTATGGGACTGCTGGGCACGGCAGAGAGTGAGGGATGCTGTGGCTTCTGCCTCAAGGCTGGAGGGTGCCCAGGATTGAGAACCTTCCCCCCTGCAAGATGTTGCCCTTTCTCCGCCCATGAGATGTTGCCCTTTCCCCGCAGGCCACAGCAGGGGATAGGGGGCCTCCCTGGGGACATGCTGGCACAGGGTGGCCGCATGCAGCATGGAAGGGGCTGCTGGAAGCCCAGCCCTCACCCCAGCAGTGCTGCAGGGATGCAGGATACAACCCCCCCCCCAGCTTGCAGAGGGACTATTTTTCAGGGAGACATGCAGGAGGCCAGGTGACCCCAGAGGATGTGTCCTACTGATGGAAAGGATAGCCCCAGATGGCTTTGCCCTCCCATGGCCATGTTTTACCTGTACACTGTCTTCAAAGCCTCTCCTGGAGGCTGAGCCTGAGGCGGCAGCTGCACCTAGAAGGACAAACCCTTGCACCTGAGCCTGCAGGATGCTTCCCTGCCACCCTTCACTACCAGCCTGGCAACACCACCACCCCTGTCACAAGCTGAACAGGGTCTCGGCCGCCAGCCCCACCACGTTGGGGCATTACCTTCAGGGCCACTGAGGCAAGTGGCTCACGGCCACATGGGGCTGGGGCCCCCGCTGTGGCTGGATCCTGCTTGCAGGAGCTCGGCATCTGCAGCATGCAGTCCTTGGAGGCTGGGCGAGAGCTCTGCTCCAGTTCTGCCAGCAAGGCATCTGCACGGAGAGACCTGGGTTGGGCACCCTAGCCACTGGCTGTCATCCCTGCCTGTGCATCCCCCTAAGCAGTCTTGTGCCACTCCTGAAATCTCAGGAGCAAAAGTAGCATTATGGTAGCTTCTGCCAGCCAGGTGCCCGGGCACTGAGGGGCTGTGGTGGCCCTGAGCACCCTCACCCAGATAGATCACCATCCCCAACAGAGGATGTGCCGGCCCCACTGCACAGCCTTCCTGAAGCGTGGAGGACTGCTGGCATCACGGGTCTTGCTTCCCCCCCACACCATCTCTGGCTTACAAAGAAACATCTATCAGCTCTTAAATTCATGCCAGCACAAGCCCTGGCATGGGAGAGCTAAACTTTTGTGCTTTCTGCGTGCCCAGAGCAGCGCTTCCTACAGGGAGGGCAAAGCACTTTCTCTTTCCACTTTTACTTCACCACGTTGGCCATCCCTTGAAATCTCACTGCCCTCACGTTAGGAAACAGGAAGGGATGTCCCCCATCGCACGGCTGCTTCCCTGATCCCGTGTCCCCCACTCAGGGCCAGGGATGATTCCCAGCAGCCTTGGACACTGGGCTGCTCAGCCCCATTGCATGCAGCCGGGATTGCATTGCTGCCGCAGCCCATTTCCTGTCTTCAAACACTCTCCATTTTCGACAAGGTGCTTGCTTGGCTACCTGGGCTCTATTCGTCCCCTGAGATGGGGGGAGGCACAGTAGGGAGTGCGGCTCCATTGCTGCCCCCTCTGCAGCATCCCCACCTGACCCTGAGATAGAGGAAGGACAAGTCTCCCCCAAGCCGCTGAAGGAACGACTCCACACCATGCCTGGGCACAGGACTGGCTCTGCAGGGGCCCAGCTTACCTAAATCCTCCATCCTGCCTCAGCGTGGGGTCCCGGTGGCTGGGCTCTGGTGCTGGGGCAGCGCCTTCAGGGTAGTGAGCTTGCAGGCTGGGCTGCGCAGGCTTTCAGTTCCGCTCTCCAGCCTTGCCTCCACCCGCCCCAGGGCTGGGGTTTGTTGCTCAGAGTTTTTCCTTTGTGGGTTGTGCACTATCCACCACGTGAGATGGGTAGCAGGCAGAAAGTGGTGGCAGAGGTTGGGGCTGGAGAGGGAAGAAATTGGCCAGCAGCTTGTCTGGGGAGCTCCTGACTCATAAAAACATACAAGCTCCTTGGGCTTCTCAGCTGAAAGCCAGAGTGCATGTGTCCTGCAGACCCAGGCCCTTTCCAGAAGTCACCACCCGCATGTGATGAGGGACGGCATTCCTGCACTGGGTGGAAATGCATTTGTGACACTGTGATGGAAGCAGGCACAGGACCTGTAGTGCCGGCATACTCCAACACAGCCTTGCCTTTTGGGGGGATGCTTTTGGAGCCTCATCTTGGATTTCCAGGTAAGGGCAAATCCCTTTGTGCCACTTAGAGCCAGCGTGAGCGTAAGGACTTGGCTCACTGCAGCAATGCAGATGGTGGTGGCACTGCCAAAGCTGGTGGTTGTGCCACACTCTCCCTGTGTTAATGCTTTGGGCCACTTAAAAGTTTCCCAGAGGTGCCATGTGTGTGGCTGCTGGGCACAGCTCAGCCCTGTCAGGCATGAGCACGTCACCACCAGCCAGGCACAACACCCAGCAGCAGACCTGAGCAGTGATCTGTGCTGGTAATTTGAGCGATTTACCCATCATTGGGACTTTTCTGCTTCTCCCAAGCCAGACAGCTTCGGTCTCTGGGCACGCCATGCAGTCATTTCAGGCGATAAGCCCACGAGCACCTGAATGTGTGTCTTCAGGCAGGAGCAATGGAGATGTTTCTGGCAGACATACAGGTTGAGGTGGCTGTCTGCCTGCCCCCCAGATGCAGGCACAGGTCCGTCACTGTTTGGGACCATTTGGGAAGACAGAGCCACAGGTACTGCCACTATCCCTGGTGCCTCCACCAATGCCCAACTCTTATGAGGGTGATCTAGTGATGTTTATGGCTTGGCTTTTTAGCAGAGAAATCTTTTGGCGCTGCTGAGAGCAGCCAGTGGACGTTGGAACAGCTCCAAGGGACTGGTTAGTAATCTGGAGTGGGGGGATGAAGTGGAGGCTGCTGCAGCAGAGAGAGGTAAAGAACTGGCATATTCATTGCACCAGCAGACAGGGAAATGGCAGGAGATGGCAGTGCAATGATGCCCACAATCAAAACATGCCCCAGATCTGAGGTGTAGACATCTGGGATGACATAGCAGGGGACCTCTTTTGTTATCTGCTCACAGTAGAGACATCCAGCAGGGCACCATCTCAGGAAAAGCCATGTGGGACACTGAACTGTGAATCCATGATATGTTTCAGGACAAGCAATACTGAGAGCTACGCAACAAAGGACAAGATGAGGTACTGCTCGTATCACTCCCTTATGGCTACTCTGAGGCAGGATCGTTGCGTCAGATGCTTCCCCTTCTGCAAATAACAGAACCTTCCTGTCTGCGGATGGTTTTGGGTTATTTTTAGACTTCTCAGTGATTTACTCTCCCCCACCAGTAATAATGTGAGCCCTAGTGTAAACAACTATCTGGAGCTGTAACTTCATATTATAAAATTTGCCATTATAAAACACATGCCCAACAGATGCAAATGGCTAAGCTGTGTCCTGATCTGAGCTGTATTTCCATGCAATGATTTAGCCAACCTATTTTAACCACAACTAAGCGACACCATGCCTTGCCTACAAAGGAGGAATCAATCGTGACAGCGACTTGAGAATAACTTCCCACATCGAGATGCTCTAGTTTGAAATAAAATTGATTTTATTTAAGAATAAATGCAAAGTCATTTCACTGCAGAGAGTATGGGTTAACTGCAGCAGAACAGTTAGTTTGGAAAGTGATGTCCATCAGTTTTCCAGCTAGACAAGTCTTTGGGGAGAGAAAGAATATTTTCAGCCACTTATAATACAAACAGCAGTAGCAGACATTACTTAAATTCTTGCTGAGATTTCTTTCCTGAGAAGAGAGAGAAAATTTTCAATTGGAAGAAAACTAACAGATTGACATTGGACTGACAAAAAGCAAGAGCCAGCCAAACTGTCTCTGTGCTGAAAATGAGCCTCAAACTACCCAGGTAACGAACTCCAGAAGTGGTTTGTACACTGCCTTTAAAAAACGCCACTGCTGAAAAAGCATGCTGTCACAGCTTCTGCAGGAGGCTGAATTGGCAGCCCCTTGCCTTGGTCTGGAAGGGACAGAAGGAATCCTGTGCAAGTATGTCAAACTTTTCTGGTTCTTTAAATTTCACATTAGGATGTACTCTTCCTCTCCACAGCCCGGTGTCTTCACCAAGAGGAATCAGACCATATGCGGTCCTCCACAATAAGATGGTTTATTACAGCACTCTTAGGAATTGAGGAATGGAGATTTGGACACACTCTTGTTTTCTAGTCATACATAAGAAAGCTTAGGACTTGAAACTCAAAAGCGGGAGGAAAAAAAAGGGAAACTGAGTCATCTCACTGATGGGTATCAGTTTACCAGTGAAATGTCTCCGGCTCTTTGAATTCCCTTTTATTTTTGCTGTTTGTAGAGAGGAGATGAAGAGCACCTCATTCTGCTACTGTAGTGGGCACCCTTACCAGGAGGGCACTGAGCACCCTTGAAACAAACAGTGGACGTGAAAGCCAGCTTATGTAGAGGAGATTTCTTCTTCCCAACCCTGCTGCTGGGGGGGCTGAGGGGCAGTACACCGACCTCAGGAAGCACAGCATAGCCTGCCTTTCTTTGGCTCTTTGTAAAGTAGCTTCCACCTGTTCCCCAATAAATTCTCCCCTGTGTAGGGTAAGTTCTTGAGTTTTGTTTGGACCTCCTCGTGGAAGCCAGAGGCTTGCAGCCAAGCAGACCACCATCCATCCACACCCCAAGGCAGCAGCTCTTGCCACTGTATCCCCTGCATTAAAGGCTGCTTGCACCTGATGCCTGGCCGGGTCCGTGCCCTCAGGAACGATGGCCTGGAAGGCCTGATGCTAGTCCTGTGGAAAATGTTTTGCTAGTGCAGAAACTTTCTTCCAGAGCTCAGCTTGCCCTCTGGCCATGTAGACTTGATAGTCCATGACACGAAGGGCTGCAGCTGCCAACTGGTAAACCCTCTGCCCAGATGAATCTAGGTGTCACAGTTCTAGGTTTTGGGGTGCAGTACCATACTCCCAGTCTGCATTCTCCCTTATCATTGCTGCCCTAACTAACATGCTCTCCTGTGCAGGTTGAGAGACAAAACCGACTGCATCCTCAGGGAGCATGTATTTTCTCTCAGCTTCCTTTGACACAGGAGGAACAGGGTGGGGCGTCTGCCATACTTTCTTTAGCAGCTTGTCCCATAGGCTGCAAGGGCATGGCAACTCTATTGCAGGAGGGCTTTTGATCCAGATACCTATCAATGAGACACCCTGTTGACTCCTGGAATGGAATTAAATTAATTCCAACCAGTTGGGCCAATCTTTTCAAGAACTGGGGGAAAAGATGGATTTTTCTGAACGTGGAAGTATTACCCTCTTGTTCTTCTGTTCTAAAATGGTAGGTAAGATCAGCCAAATCATCCTCTCCAGACGAATCACAGCAACAACCTTTGTCCCTGAAAGCAACACCTGGCTTCCAGCTGGCTGAGTCACAACCCACTGTTGGCATCATGGGTTGAGGAGGGGACAGTCTTTCACAGGGACATGATAGCAGCTGTTCTGCGACTGTTGGCAGAGGGGGCATTCGACTTGCAGTAACTGCTTCATCCAGTGAAAGATACAGCTCTCAAGATGTGGAGGACATCCTCGGTTCCAAAAGCATTCTGGCTGCACTGGACCTCACCAAAGCATCTGGAGGTGGCTCTCTGGGTCTTGAGGCAGCCTCAGCGATTAGGAGGATGGATCTGCTCAGGTCTGATTGTAATACCCAGTCACTAAGATTCCCCCAGATTGCAGTTCCAGTCCAGACACCGGGTAGAGAGGATGGAGTGGAGACTGGAACACAAAACTGCTTAAAGGTGGTGGCTTTGGTGTCCATGAGCCTGAAGCTTTTGGGTTCTGTTTGGTTCTCACATTACAGTGCTGCTTCTGCAGGGAGCATGTGTTGTCAGGTACCATGAAAGTTCTGCTTTGGGGAGGTAACTCAGTTTCTGGAGATGACAACAGCGTGTCCTTCAGCAGAGCCGCTCTCCCATGCTCTGCTGGAAGGCACAGCGGGATCGCCAGCTGTAGTGCTGGGAAGGAGCACTGGCCACTGGCAGGGGAGGTGAGCTCATGCCAGCGCTGAGTGGACCTCCCCTTCGCTGCCCCGCAGCTCACCCGCTCAGGGTGCAGGTTGGTGCCACCGCTGGGCCGGGCCCACAGCAGGGCCCGGAGATGCGGGCAGCACAGGGGTCCATGCCGGCACAGGCCCTTCGGCCCTGCGGGTCGTGGCCCTGCTCCCAGGCAGAGGGCGCAATGGTCGCGCTCGTCTGGCACTAAGATCCTGCGGCCGCGGGGGGGGCAGCGGTTAGGCCCTGGGGCAGGCCGGCCCCCCGCCATCGCCCCGGCGGAACTCGCAGCTCCCAGCGTGCCCCGCGGCCGCTTCCGGCCAGGCCGCGCCCGTCCCGCCGCCTGCGGGAACTACATCTCCCGGCAGGAAACGCGCATGCGCGGAGCCGGACGGAAGCGGGCGGGGCTACCGCCGCAGACCACGCCCCCTTTGCGCCGGCCGCCATTTTGTCACCGACTTTCACCCGCCGCCCGACGGGGCGTTGTTTTTTTTTTTT